GCTCTCCACCTAGGATATAATTATGTGGTATTTTCAAAGAGATTTGAGGCAAGCGAACCTAAATTGCTGAAGGTATCCTGAAGCTTGTTCACCAGTTGGATGAGGTCTTGATCCATATTGAAAGTTGAACCTCCCGACGCGTAATAGAAAGCTGTATAAACCAAGGTTGTGCCGGCTATGGATGTTTTGGTCACCCAGCGACGGCGCGTTACACTGTTTGTCTTCACCCGCCTAGCCAAGCAATGCGTTCATGGCAACCTGCCACCTCCACTGCTTTCCCAGGACTACATACTACGGTCTCCGGTAGTTGAACGTTGACGTTAATTCCTGAGGCCCATGGGGGTTGGCTAATAATAATACATATTGATTTCGCTCGCAGCCGAACTATGAAATATTACTAATACATTGGCCGTTGATGCTAGGTAACGAAAGGCAATCCCGAGTCTGCAGTGGTTGAATCGGATGGTATATGCAAAAGAGTGAAGATATGTGTTGAAAAGTCCTATCGGGAACAACACAAGTTTACGGCTCGAGCGTCCGACTATATTGGGCTGGTGAGGTCTCGGGTTTCCCCTCTCGCGGAATGAGTTCATCGCCTTTTTCGCCTATACCCATAGCTGAGGTATCATATCCCTTAGACTCGAGGTATTCACGGAACTGGTGGCGACGATGGTTCAGAACAAATTAACCTCGGTGATAGCGACCTACCAGTTTGTCCTCTTCAACCATTCCGTCTTGATCCACGGGCTTGATGAAAACAAATGTAATGATGGCACTTATGATTGCACAGCCTGAAAAATCCAAGACATGTCAATGAATAAAATTTACAAGAGTATGACAGGCACTGACAACTGCCGATCCAGAATGGACCTGTGTTTCCCCGAGCGGTGTCGGATCCACCGAATACTGGATATAGGTGGTGAATTTCATGTTTTAGAAATAACCAATCTATACCAACCATTGATAATGGATGGGAAAGCTATCACGGGTTGTCAGGATGTGTCTAGTGAATTCAATGGATGGCATACCCCACGTCCCAGCGAATGCCCCAACCTTGCCGATGGCCGCCGCAACAGCAAAGAATTGCCCCTAATGGCGGTAGGACAACTTTTGCTTGCCAGGATGAAAGTACAGTTGCCAGGCCCTGATAATTTGTCGTACCGGGTTCTCAATTAATTGAAGAGTAATCCCACTACCCATTTCACCAAGGCTAAGGAAAATACCATAGGCGAGCTAAAGGGCTATCAGATCCCACTAGAATAAGATAATAGTGAAATGCTGACGTACGGCAAATACACCAATGTGATCAGTGAGCCTAGCGGGTGTGTTAAATAATTGTAGTCCCGACACTAATATTTGATTGCCCACTGTTTATATAAACCAGCCACAATAAAACCTACGACCGCCTGGGCGAGGAGGCCCATGATCTGATAAAGCGATTCAGCATTCGGGATTATTAAAAAAATTATATTGAATTACCAAAGTATGTTTGGGGCTGACGTAGTCCAACAGGAAAGCACCACCAATGGTCCCTTGCCTAAGTTTAGTGAGGGGTACACATCAAGTGTGAAGTTCCAGGTACCTGGTATATAACACAAGCTGGGGTTCGGAGGTTGGATGGTGAGGAAAACATGGGTTGGATGCTCACTTGATGACAACAGTCCAGCCAAACACAACAGAAATCGCACTGGATCCCCGCGTGAGGCTGTTGTGGTTGTTAGTCTGGGCATCAAGGAGATAGGTAGACATTACTCATTAACACGGTCGACGAATACAGGCGAAACTTATGAGCCTCATTGTCAGTCTCGTTTCAAAGGAGCACCAAGAAACTTACGGGATATCTGTAAACATGGGTTTCATACAAGCCACAAGTGAAAAATGAGGGGCCACGTACACGACAAGATCGTAAAGGAACCTTATTTGGTGTGAATGTCAGTTATGATTCGATATTGGGATGGAAAGGAATTTACCAAACAACAGCAATTGCCGTAAGTCTTACACCGTACCGCCGGGCGATGAGGAGATATGGGATAGTCGTGTATTTCATCGAGTCCTTTCTATAGCGCGGCGGTTCCTCCATCGCGTATCGCCAAAGAAATACAATAAAAGCAGGGACGGCACCCAGGCCGAGCGATATTCGCCAAATAACACGAAGTGATTAGAACCAAAACTGGACGACCAGTGTCAATGTGGTAATTCCAGGCTGTGCGAATAATACTTGCATCCAAAAGAGAATTAAGGGGATAAGTGCTGAAAGCACAAATCCAAATCAAGCATGAATCTATTTGATAGGATAGTTAAGGGTTGTTGCATTATTGATTGTTGGCTTACTAGTGGCAAGAGCAAGCCATCGATGTTGACCCTTCCCGCGAATCCCCTCTCTTCTGACTGCTCTGACGCGGCAACTGAGCCACATGGGTATTCAGCGCCGACCCCAATGCCGAGGAAGAACCTACAACTATTAAGGCGAACTCCTTGAGGATCGGCAGGGACCGGACGCACCGACATGCAGTCAACATACCCAGTAATCCATCAACATTATCATGCATTCCAGAGGATCCAGCAGAAAGTAAAGAGAAAATGGCAACGAGTCCGGTTGCGACCATCTAATACGTCATAATTCCAGATGGGCCACAACATGCATAGTCCAGCTTGGCCTACCATCCCAAATTTCCGGCCGACCTTGTCAGAGAGATAACCTCCAAGAGGGTCAGGGAGAAACGCGAAGTCAGGAACACAATTGAACTCACCAAATATCAGCATCCCAACAATAGTGCCCACAAATCCAAGGCTGTTCAGGGTACGGCTGTAGTTATGAGAGGCGAGCGCATCCTTCCCGTAGATCTCGGTGAGGACTATAAGAGATTTAGCTGAGGAATATGGTATCCCGAAAGGAGGTGGCTGACGCGTATTGACTATAAATGGTTGGGGTAAATGAATGTAACATAGGACGGATACAAGCTGAACATACCACTTCCAATTATTCCGTTGGCGTAGCCTGGATTACGGGTAAATGAAAGAGTCGCGACTATGATGCCATGTTCACACACCATCGGAGAAGAGTGCCGTTCCACATCTTTAGACTTAGGGTTAGGAGGATGTTGGGAGGTAAGGGGAATAAACAAACGCGAATATGAGGGAAACACTCTTCAACGATTCGCGCGTTTTCAGAGGGAGGATCATGATCACCTGAGGCGGGGAATTCGATTCTGAACGTCCATGATGACTGGGAGATATACAACTCTGGGGTTTTGATGCACTGCCCGAAGGAGCTCATACGACGACGACATTCGCTGACGCACGCACGTTCGTGGATCGTTGTACATTTAGAAGCAAAGGAGATCAAAAAAAGCTGTCCATGCGGAATGGAATATTAATAGCTCATTATTTGAACGCTCAAGGCAATGCGTCCATCTACCACTCGAGAAATACCACCAAATTGGATCCCAAAGGAGACTGCACCAGGATGGCAACGACGACGCTCTAATATTTTCAAAAAATTTCGGAAGGGAGTGAAGCTGGGGGATGTGAAGAAATGAATTATTAGGAGCAAAACACCTCGCACTGACAGAGCGATCAACAGATCCTGATACATACGGCTAATGTACAGGCCACCCAGCTTGTGTGATATGAAAAGTCCAAAAGTTTTCGAAGCCGGGAATTTGTTGCCTCGTTTGGTTGGTTTTAGCCCCGGAATAAGTATTCCCCCGAGGAGGTACGAGGCGGGGCCCCCCGAGTTCCGCACAACCTGAATAATATTAATGGGTGTCAATTTCTGTTCCAAGTTGGTTCTGGGAAGGTGACTATTCGCGTCTCTGGGTTTGGCCAGTTGGTGGCCATGGTGGCCTTCTGGCGCTAAATTTCAATTTCACAAACGAATCACAGTGCGAAGCTGCGTCAGCGATGCGATTGGTCATGCGGCCCGGCGGCGTCAATTGGTGCTTCACCTCATGCAGTCCTGGGCACTTCCACCATTCGGGCATGTTGATGCTCAACTGCCCGACATCGGTGTGTCTGCTGCCATGGCAAGTATATTGGAATACAACAGCATTTCCGCTTTGAGCAGGCCGAGAAAGATTTATTAAGACATATGACTATTCTAAGACCCATACTATAGCCACTTTAGAGAGGTTAGTACTCATGTTCTGTTATAAAAACTATCACAAGTGCCGGCAGGTAGGTGGATTTCCGAGGCAATGCTAGGACCATATGATATCAGCCGCACTAGCCCGTCTCCGAATCAGATTCGCAATGATGATTTTTGTTTAGGCACATAGCGCTGAGAGTTAAACAAGCTGTTCGACGGTCGCGCCTTGGGCGTACCGCCCAACTTATAACTGGGCGATGACGTCAGTCCCTCCCATGTTTTCCGAGGACCCTGCCCTCAAGAAGATGTTGGGACGCGCCCACCTTAACTAATTACGCGCCTTAAAGGAATATTTTCTCGTTCTTGGGTATAGACAAAGATTTCCACACACGGAGGGCCCGCGACTCAAATAATACACGATTCCGCGGGCCACCCAGAACACTAAGCATGTCAATGAAAAACAATTTGATGAGATGGGCGTGATGCTTGAAACTCTGAGATTCTTGCCAGGCAGCTTCAGCGACAGATGACCAACAATGATGGCCATATCAAGTAGGGCTCTAAGAATCCCAGCGCAGGGCAGAATCAAGACCGAGACGTAGTGCCGGGGTGGGTTCGGGAGGCAGATGTAAAACATCTGTGATTCCATCAGCAACAATCCTCCGTGCGAGCCCGATATCCATCAACCAAGATTGTTATACTAACAGCCCAGCAAAAGCCGACAACAGATTGATGGTCAGTGTTGCCCCAAATAATACATGTACTTACAAATTAAGCTGCCTGAATATTCGTGGAGTGCCAGGACGTGGAACGGGGGCTGTATCAACACGGGCCGTGCGCGTGTGGGAGGACAAAACAACGGCGCGGCAGCGCCAAGAGAGCGTTGTATAGATCGTGCAAAATGATGCCAAAATCCGATCTGCCTGGTTCGAACAGGCGACCTCAAGATGATTGTTTTGATAACCATTACAGTCTTGCGCTACTTCCAACTGAGCTAAGATCGGTATAGCATGTTGTGGCTGACGCATGATTGCTTCGATGATGCTTTGGTGCCGAGCCGAATGTTTTCGAGCCTACTATAAAAAGTTGTGGAAATAGGTTATATACCCTCAAAGATCTTCCGGGAAATTCAGCAGTCGACCTATAGTGTTCAAACCATAAGATGAAGTATACTTGTTCGATCTCCCATACCCTCACCTTCCATTCCACCTTCCACCATAACGACTTGCCCGGTGACATGCCCAGACACTTTGGTCGACGCGAGGAGCACGATCTGGTTAGCGATGTCCCTGGGGCCGGCGAATTTCTTGAGCGGGGTTCTGCATTTCTGCGTCAAGCTGATTCTGTAGGTTATCGGAATACATACGTCGCAAGCGCGCGATAGACTGTAGCAGGGTTTTCAATGCTTCTCCGCCATCGGCTGACAGAGGAAAGGTGTACATATTAATATAAGTCTGAGATGAGGTCAGCGTGGAGAATACCGTTGTAACCCAGCCGGGTGCTACACAATTGACCCTTCCCTTGGGCGCGATCTTGACTATTTCGTTCTTGAGCGATAGATTTAACCCATACATCATTGCTATATACATGGATCTCGGGGGTTATACCTGCTCGGCATGGGGATGATGCGAAACCTACCGCTTTTGGAAGCGGCGTAATCCGCATGATTTGCTTCACCTATAAGGAAGTATTATCCCCTAGCTCATTTGATGACAACAGGGTAGTGTTCACATACCATATTTCCCAGCTGTACTACCGATGAGGATGATAGCCGCCTTGGATTTGATATCTTCCGACGCCGTTTCAAGTCCCCTCATATACTCTCGGGCTACCAAGAATGTAGACGTCAGGTTGACGTCAAGAGTAAACTTCCAACGATCAAGCGACATCCTTGGTAACGGCTCATCTGCTGTTAGCCATATACCGTGATTCACCACAATAACGCCGAACGGCCCGAAAGATAGTGTTGCGTCTGAGAATAATTTAACAACATCGCCTTCGAGTGATAGATCCGCCTGGGCCAGCCGCAGCGACGCTGGGCCAAAAGCTTTGGTCAGGGGCTGCAAAGTTGCATCGTTTGTATTGTAGTGCGCAGTCACCCGAGCTCCTTGCTCTGCGATTGTCAAGGAAGGTCATGAAAGCGGCCAGCCCGCCAACGAACCGATAAAAAGGCGTGTGGTGTCGAGGCCTATTCCACCACTGGCACCTAAAATAAACCAATAGTGGGAAGAAGATTTCCGTCGGTCAAGATGTCAAAAACCTGTTTCAAGTGACATTGGTTGATACCTGTTACAAGGACATGCACATCCTTCAAACCGAGATCCATTGATGGGTATGTGGTGGGTAGGAGTGAAGTTCCGGCCCGGCGATCCCGCTGCAGCATTGTTGTGATCGACGTCAATACACACAGCATCAATCACTCCCACATCGACAACTGACACCACACCACGAGGACCGACAATCAACAGATTGAAGAAGCCACAACTAGAAATTGGAAAATCAAAGTCATAAGTATGGAACTGTCATCTGGAACTGTGATATTCAAACCAGCTGAACAGAAATGTACTAGTACCCGACCATGTCCAACCCAACCATATTATTGGCTCCTGTCAATCTCGAAAGCCTCACAGAGTCTACACCATATCTCATGCCATTTCGCATCGACTATTCTGGGAAAGCGCCGATATCCACCTATCTACGCGTCGAGGCGGCAGGCGAGACTGTAGGAGGTCCTTCTGCCGCTGGGCAGCATAGCCAAAATGTGAAGGTCGAGGAATCAAAGGAGGAGGGCGAAGGATCAAGTAGGGAGAGCGAGGAACCAAAGAAGAAGAGCGAGGATACAGCGATGGTCGAGGAAAAACTCGTGAAACCTATACAGTCTCCGACCTCGCAATCACTATCAAAGCGTGTCACGGATGCAACGACGCGTTTTATATCCTCATTTCGCGGCAGAACCATCCAAGGATTAAAGGTCAACGTTCCCGAAGGGTATGTTGGCGTTGTGCTTCGGGCGGATGGCAAGGCGTCTGTGCAGTCGAAACCGAAACCAAAACCAGTAGAAAAGACCAAGGGGAAGGCGAAGAGCAGAACCACGCGCCGCTCAGCGCGTGCCGCGGGGCTGAGGTCCTCGAGGAGGACGAGCCTGTACAAATCGATGAAGGGTTGATAGATGATGAACCAGCGGCAGTCCGAACCCTCATGCCAACCTCCCAGTTCTCATCGTTCGTGGTGTGGCACCCCGATCACCCAGTGGATGAGAACCAAGACGTGTATATTAGGTCACTAACGGAATGGACACGGTTAGCTGCGGAGGTACGTCCTCTCAAAAACCGGTCATTGATATGTCACGAGCACACCCACAGATTCACCGAGTCCCTGAATGATGCCACATCAAATGCGCGTCGTCGTAGGATGCCGCTACTTACCATCTGTCTGGTATATCTACAAGATTGCTACCCCCAAGGCTGTTTAGCTCGCGGGATCTTATCACGTTCAACCCCACCCGCTTGTCAACCATTTGCTCGAAATAAGTCATGGATACCCGTTTGAATCCATTTGGCTAACACATGCACTTACATTCAAAAATATTTGACCGCCGATGATTCGGGTGGATATTCGGCTGTGTTCGGCGGCCATAGTCCATCTTTCCCATGTAACCATAAACAAAAATACTCATACAACATTCTAATCAGAGACACTAAGCCTTTGAGCGGGTGTTGTTCCAACCTCGTGTCATTGCCTACAATCCAAGAACCCACATCCTAAGAATATCGGACACAGCCAATCCCGTCTCTACCGAACCATGCTTTGATCTACCTTCCCCCCAACTTGAAGCCGGGTCTGCAATAAGGTTGAGGTATGATAAATTTGACGGTGGCCAGGATCAAGGGCCGCTGGGGATCCAGCATTTAACATGGGCCGATCCAACCCCAAGCGTTTCAGACTACTGCCTACACGGTAGTTGTTGGATCAAGAACCATCTTAGCCTCGGAAGACCTAACCGCCGGGGCAGCATCTAGGCAGGGTCACGTCATCCGACTGTAAATCCTGAAAGTATAGTTACTCATAGGTACCAAGATCCCAGTGACGGAGGTTTTTGCATGCATGCAGCCCACTTGCACGGTACACAACCTCCCTTGATCTTCCAGAACCCTGGAAGCCGTAAGGCTCCTTGATGGCGGATCATGTGAGGTCATATGCCAATCGTAACGAACCATGAGATGCAGAGAACGAACACTACTTTAGAGTCCCAGAAGCATATTCATGATCCTATTGGCAACCAGCCGAAACACGACAACGCTCCAAGCTCTTATTAGGAAAGATTGCAGGCGCCCCTAGCGGATGTCTGATACGACCGAGCATTGCAATCAGGATGTGCGTACCACTGGTAACAACCATCGCAGCCGATCCCGCTGTTTAAAATAATACACTTGCCCATATTTATAGCACAACGCGGAACGAGGTATGTCTGGTAGAGTGCGAGGAATGGAAGAACCTGACATAAATTGTTGTGGTCGCTCAATCAATCAAATGCCGCTCGCCGCTCTTGGACGCACTGGTGACTTGAGCGCTCAGGCTCAGGCTCAGGCTCAGGCTCAGGCTCAGGCTCAGGCTCGAATCCGCAGTGTCCAGGCTTAAATATTATACAACCTCAGCTTATGTTTCGGGCCGCCGCTCACAACATCGGCGACTTTACCTATATCATTATCAGGATTGCAGCTGAAGGGCGAAAAAAAATCAAGGCAGAAACGGAGATGCGCCGTCCAGCGCATGTTGGCGAAGTCTAAATTATGGACGACGCATGGCAGCCAGCGCAAGGCCGAGGTTGATGATCAAATAGGGACATCTAATTTGGACCCAGACCCCACTCTAACCTCCACAGCAGGCCAGCCCCTACCAAGAGGGTGTCCGATCCACGGAGGTGCACAGCATATTTTGCAAGTGACCTGCGGCGCTAGGAAACACGTCCCGTGCTCTTGCTCTACTTCCAGGCCAAATACCATCTCCAGAGCTCTTGGCTCCTCCAAAAGGACCTCTTTCACAGGAATCCCACACTGACCTTATCGTATGTCGATCACAGGGCGTGGATGATCAGGTTGACAGAACGCATACCCTACTAACCTGCTCTGTTACATCACGAAATACATCATCCCTCGCCCGGCTGATCATCTGGTCCGTCCATCTCACCTCGAGGTGTTTCAAATTCAATGCCCATCGCCCCGACCCCGCCCGAGTGCATTGCATATCCCTGAAGCCCAGGTATTTATGCCAGTCATGCCGATCGCCACAACGTAAATTTGAGAAGGCTATGCCATGCGGGGGTGGCAGTGCTTATCCCACCAATCCCACATATTGATACCATCACTGGAGGTGTACGGCGTCCCCATGCCATTGCTGGCATGCAGCAGATTGATCATTTCCGGTAAGCACGCACTGACATCAGGCTCAGATCCCGCGCCTGTTGGGCAAATAGTGGTATTCTCGGGGCGGGCCCAGCGTCCCGCAGTTCTTTGAGACGGAATGAATGGGCGACTTGTGGACAGAACTATCGCGTGGGAGCTCGCAGGACGGCGGTTGCGGTTTGGAAGCGGCGGGTTTACCCTGCCGGACATAAGACCGTGATTTCTCATATTCCATGGTGATTATTCCTTAGGGAGGTTTTTGTGACCGTCAGCTACAGAAAGATGTTGGGGTTGACCAGAGCCTGCTGCAGAGGCTGTACGAGCAGTGCATCGGCGTAGAACTGTGTATGGAGAAGGGCAGCCACCAATGAATAAATTCGTACTCACACCCCTGAGGATGATCTTGTGACACCAGGCACCGTGTGACACGGGTCCTTTAAACGTTGTAACTTGTAACTCCTGTCAAACATCTGTTCTCAGAGTCCACCAACAGCGCCCAGCGTTTTCTATCCACAACCTAAACAACCACATTCCTTTAAATCCCCCCCCAACCATCCAAAGTCTGTCTTTTTTTCTGCATTTTTTTTTTTCGACCACCTGTA